TGGCTCAAGGCTTTTTAGAAGATCTGCTCTGATTTCAGAACCTGTATGCAATCTTTCTCATTGTTTGTTTTTCTCTTTTGACTGGTTAAATCACATTCATCTTTGATCTCTCACCAACCAGAAATTCCTCCTCTTTTGACTCATTCATTTCCTTTACCAGGAAATATGGAAAGGAACCCCTGTATTATTAGGTCTAAACCTTTTGCGGCTTTCTGTTTTCTTTTCATCTAACCTTTAAGTTGCTCTCAACTGTATTTTGGATTTAAAATACTTGTTTTAAAATCATTTCCAACAGAAGATTATATTTATTAATTAATTAGTAAGGCTTTTATTCCATATCATAACTTTAACCTTTTAGCACTAATATCTTTTTATTTTTCTGGATTGAAGACTTTGTGCTTTACAGTTATCTAGAAATCTATAATTCTTCACTTTTCTTCACAAACTTGTCATGTAAACTCTTACAACCATTTCTTATAGTTTCCCTTTTTCACTTAAAATGTCTTTTGGATCATTATGTTTCATATGGTAATATTAAATGTGCTGTTGTTACAGAAAATCTCTAAAGTCCAAATTTTAGACTCCTAAGCTTTGACCTCCAGTTTTCCTGATGAGAGAAAATGAGAGACTAAGAGAAAAATTACCAGGTGTACCCACAACTGCAAAGAAAAGACCCCACCCCCACCCCCCCCACCATTCCCGGAACCAGCCAGGGCGTGCCCGGTTGTGGTCTGACCTGAAGGTGGGAACCAATCAGGTTCTGCCGAGTGGTTTGACCTAAAGGCGGGAACCAATCAAGTTCTGCTGAGTGTTCAAATTTAAATGTCAACCAATAACAGCTCTGTAACGGCGAAAAATCCCTAACTTGTTTGTGCCTGTCTATAAAAGAAGCTGTAAGATCCTCGCTGGGGACCTCTTAGCATCACCGGTAAGGAGTGCGCGGAGGTCCGGGTTCGAACCTGCAATAAACGACCCTTGCCGCTTGGCTTTGACTCTGGACTCTGGTGGTTTGTTCTTGGGGGTCTTTCGAATTTGGGCATATCAAAAATACATTCTGTATTCCAAAATGTCACTCCAGGTCAACCAGTCCTTTGAGATTTGGCTTAAATCCCTTGTCCCATGTGTGGTGAGAGCCTCAGTGCTTCTGAATGTCTTAGGCAATAGGGGACAGGACACTTCCATTTCTCGTGGCCTCTCCTAGCCCTGGACTCCTACTTCTGCTGATTGGCTTGGTCCATGGCTAACCATGCTGTTGCTACTACACATTCTCCGCCCCACAAAGGACACTGCCCAGGTCCTTCTTCTCACATTCCGAGGCTGTGTGTATAGCAGACATTCACTGAAGTTCATGGCAATTGAGTTGTTTAATCAACTAAAAGAAGTTTAAATAATAGCACCATTAAAGTTAAATATGTAATATTGCAGTGCTCAAAACTCCTTGGTCCTTGGGAACTTTTTATTCTCTACCTGTTTTAGCAGCTGCCTGGTTTGTGATCCCCCTGTCTTTATTCCCCATCTTTCCTCTGGCCGCAGCGCCATCCCCTCAAATCTTGTTCTTTCTTACTTGAGAGTTTAATTATCTTGGTAAAGTCGTGCCTTTCACCGGGGCATCTCTTCAGGATCTCAGCTTACAGCTAACGTTTCAGCTAGGTCTATTCGCAAACAAGACATTTTTTTTTTCCCTGTAAAGAACTCTGGCATTTGCTGTCAGTCTTCCCTGGCAGCACATCCCTTGTCCCTCCTTCCAAATTACATGAATTGATCGATTGATTTTAAGTTTATATGGAGAGAGAGAGCGTGCACACCCACACACAGGCACACACACATACATGCATGTGAGCAAGGAAGGGGCAGAGAGCGAGGGAGAGAGAGAATCCCAAGTAGGCTCTGTGCTAACAGAATGGGATTTGATCCCACGAACTGTGAGATCATGACCTGAGCCAAAATCGAAAGTCAGAAGCTCAACCAACTGAACCACCCAGGCACCCCCAAATTATGTGAATTGAAAGCAGAGAAAACCATACCTTCTTTGGAGCAAACCTTTTGGTATTGTCATTATTTTAAAAGTCTTGTCTCATCTTATTTAAAAATATTTTTAATGTTCTACTTTATCTTATATCAAAAAAATCTCATGAGGGGCGCCTGGGTGGCTCAGTTGGTTAAGCTTCCAACTTGGGCTCAGGTCATGATCTCGCAGTCTGTGAGTTTGAGCCCTGCCTCGGGCTTTGTACTGAAAGCTCAGAGCCTGGAGCTTGCTTCCTATTCTGTGTCTCCCTTTCTCTGTCCCTCCCCAGCTCACGCTCTATCTCTCTCTCTCAAAAATAAAAACAGACATTAAAAAAAATCTTTAAGAATGAGAAAAAAAAATCTCATGAGAAAATTATGAAAGCTACATTGTTGTCAAATTTAATACAAGTGAATATAAGTGAAAGTGAAAATTGAACATGCTTTACCCCATTGTTGCATTAAACTTTGTTCCTTTCATTCCTCTCTAGTAATTCAAAGTTATACATTCTATTCTGCTTTTCATGGCTAGGGTAAACCTAAAGGGGGGGACAGGGGGGTGGGGGGGCTGGGGGGGTGGGGGGAACCATGTGTGTATACATATATATCAACCTAGTTCTTTTTCATCATTAAGAATGAAAATGTCTGGATTATCCTTGGGCTAAATGAGAAATTTAACACACCTCTGCAATTCCCAGAAATTGTGGAAATAACCTGAAGTTTTAGTTCCAGATTATTATTATATATCAAGCACTTTCAATTTCAAGAAGCCCCCTCGTCTTTTCAAACAAATGTGTTAAGTCTCACTGTTTCATTAACAACAGTTGTTTAGACCTAGTCATTTTTATCAAGTCTATTAGTTACTACTCTTTTATGGGATATCTTTTGCTTTCTTTGAGCTGTTTTTTTAGGTGGAACCAGCCTTCCATTCATTCTATGTCTTCCCTGGGCATCAAAAGCACCTAAGTCAACTTCTTCTGCCTTGGCCAGCCCTTCTCTCTATACCCAGAATTACAAACCATAAATGATGTCAAATCTTCTCTATTCCTCAAGAACTTTGACACTGGGTCCAAAACTGAAACAGGTCTTGAATTTGTTCCATTGGTTTTTGTGGCCTGTCCCGGTCTGTCAGCCTATTCTGATCTAGAGGGTCTAGGTCAGGGTCTGAAGGGAAAGCAGACCTGGTGGGCTTCTCCTCCACTGGTTGGTATGCTAACACTTGCCATCATCGGTGCTGGTTTTGTTTGTTTTGCTTTTTTGTGGAAACAGCTAAACCCTAGTTCTCTACTATATTATTTCGAGAGAAGTAGAAAGTAACATTCATGTGTTTAGAAATCCAGGAGCTCTAGGTTTGTACATGGAACAGGTATTTGTATTCATCTTTCTGTTTTTCTCCCCAGCACCTTCCACATCTGATCTTGTTCTCCATGTAGGTTAAAGCACACACATATGCATGTGCACACGCACGCCTACTCCCACACTCAACCAAAGGGGAAAGGACACAGTGTGGTAAATAAAATAATATAAAGACTCGTCTCCAGGAATCTATACCAGAACACTCAAAGCAACTACTCAACAAGAATTATATTTCTTACTTTCTGTGCTAAATCAGACATAGTCTCTGCGCCCTAGGAGCTCACTCACAGTGTTGTCAAGGAGATTCGATGGGCACATAGGAAACAACACAATGGAAAGAAGAAAGGATATGGAAAAGCTGAGTTCAAATCCCCATTCCATCACTAGTAATTGTGTGGGTTTGAATAAGTCATTTCATTTCTTAGAGCCTTTACTCATGATTTCTTGTGACAAAAGTTTTTTTTTTTTTTTCATTAAGAGCCACATAGTTTGGCGGCAAGAAAACCAAAAAAGGATAAGGAACAATTAAACTCTGCTTTCAAGGGCTGTAACCCACCAGGGAGGCAAGACAAGCACACAAGACAATGTAAGAACATTGGTGTCCTATGTGAGAAATGACCCTCTATGGCACTCCTATGAGGTCAGAAAAGACACATGACAGTGGGAGAGGAGAGGGATGTTGATTTAACATTAAATGAGCTCAAAAATACACTGTTTAGTACTTGTTTTGATCTCTGATCTCAGTTTTAATACAGCAGGTGGGACACATAATTGGCAAGAGAGAGAAAGGAAAGTTCTGGAACAGGTGGGATGGCTGCCTGGGCAGTTGGCCAGAACGTCCCCAACAGAACATTCTACTATCAGATAGGGTATATTCCCACCTCATACAGTGTCTTCCATATGTCTCAAAATATTGACAGCCTTAAGAAATGATGTAGAAGAGCAAATAAAAAGTGAGGAAGGGAGAGATTACCCAGGACAAACAAGGAGGATGGAGGCCAGCTGTTCTCCATTCTTCCCAGGGACAAAGAGTTCCGTCCTCAGATCTGTCCCAGAGCATTATCTTATTGCACTTAGCACTTTCTACCTTGGATTGCAGTTATTTATATACAAGGCTTATCTTCCCTACTGAACTGCAAGTGTGGGGAGCCCAGAGCCTGCCTCTTTCGCCTTTGGATCCCCTTAGTGCCGGCCTCCTACCTGCTGGGAACCCAGTGACTGTGTGTTAAAGGCACAGAAGGGCTGGAAAGAGCAGTGGTAGGATTTCAGTCACGTCAAGTTAAAGACTGCTTTCATGAGAGTTGTTGAGTCAGGGAATACTTTGCTGAGGGAATGTTATCTGCTTCTCTAGAGGTCTTAAAAAAATAACATGGTCTCATCAATTTGAAATGATTTAAATATGGTCTTGCATGTGGCCAGAGGGAGAGAGCAGCTGAGCTCTCAAGATTCTTTCCAGAGCTTAGAGCTCTGATTCTGTGATGGGAAACAACAGCTTCTTCTCTCTCCTTCATTCTCTCTCTTTTTCCACCTCTTGGTCAACCACCCAAGGGTGATAAATGAATGGTAAGACATCTGTCTCTTGTCCCTTTATGAATGTCTCCTCTTACCTGAAAGAGAGATGTGGGCTTGGGATTACTCACCTGAACAAGGTCCAGCTCTTCTCTGAGGTCACAGCAGGTCTGTATCTGCCTTCTGTGGTGGCAGTGCATGCAGGGATGGTGGGCTGCCTCCCTCACCTGGCCTAGAAGGTATGGAGGCTGTTAATGATGTGAATGGTTGTTTTTGGATATACGGTTTCCCAGAAATCTTCCAAGTGGGGACTCCAATGTTGGCATGAAGATTTTTTCGAAGGCATCTAAGACCTCTCCGATTGGGCTTGGATGCAGCCCTGCATGACAGCGATCATGTATGATGGCCAGGAAAGCTCTTCCCCTTTCTTGCTTCCAACCTGTGGTGCTAAGTGAGAATGAAGGGATTTCTGAGAAGAGAACTGCATTCTTCCATTTGACAGTGAAATCATGTTACTCTATTTGAAAGGAACTTTGCCTCCTAATTTTCAAGCAGTCTTGAAATAAGGTGTTCAAGGACCGTTGAAAATGCATCTTCCTATTTTTGATTTCTCATTTCACTTGGGTTCCAGAGGTTCCTTGTTTGCTTCTATTTCTTGGAATTTCCTTTTGAAAATTATAGTAAGGTGTGGAGAACTGTTGGTGGTTTGATGAGACCAAGTTCTTTGGGAAAGGGGAGAGTAGTGGCTCAACACTGAACTAACTTGTATTGAGCCCTCACTCTGGGTTGTTGCCTCTGGGGATAGAATCTGCATCTCACTGATTACCCTTTAGCTCCAGGTCTCCAGCAGAGAAAAGGTAGCAGGTTTTTTAGAAGTAGGCCTCCAGATTTCAATATGCTACTTGGGGCAGTCATTTGGGTCATTGAATGACAGGTTATTCAATACGCATATTCTGTGAATTAATTGTGTTGACCTCTGCTCTCCAGTATTGTGTCATTAGCTCCGTGTGGCTATTGAGCACTTGAAATGGGGCTTGTCTGAATTGAGATGGCCTGTGAATGTAAAATACAAACCATAATTTCAAAGTCTTAATATAAAGAAAGAATGTAAAGTAGCTCAATGATATGTTTCATTGATTATATGATGAAATGATAATATTTTGGATATATTGGATCAAATAAAATATACCACCAAACATACTTAATTTCACCTATTGCTTTTTAGTTTTCTTAACATGGCTACTAGAATATTTAAACATAAATACGTGGCTCGAATTATATTTCTGTTGGATGGCACTGCTCTAGACGTAGCACTGGAAAGCAGTGGGGATAGTTCTCCTCACCAGATTTTCTCCTTTACTCTGTCGTTTTTTGCAAGCACTAAAATGGCCAAATTTGGGCAAAGACGCTGTGTTGCCTTAAAAGGCATATATACCCTTCTCCATGTTTCTTGTCTTTCCAATTAGATTATAAGTATCTTGAGTGGCTTCAAGTCATAGGGTCAACAAAACCATAATTCGTAGTAACTTGTGTTAGGTATGGTGCTGGGTTCTGGACTTGTGACATTGAATAGAACCTGGCCACTGCCCCAGGAACCTGCTGTCTATAGATAAGGCAGGGAAGAGCACAGCTGCTAGAATCAAATTCAAGAAGTGTTATGGTAGAATCTATCTAGCTCAGGGTATTCCATCGAATCACCTATTTCTCTAATTGCCCCAGCTGTACTCAATCACTTTTATGTATTACTTGTTTTTATCACACAAATAAAAGATAGTCATTGTAAAAAAAAAGAAAAGAAAAGAAAAGAAAGAACAAGGAAATACAGATAAAGCAAAAACACAAAGTTCATGGTTGCCACTGTTGGCATTTGGATTATATCCAGCCTCATCCAGTAATAAGGTTCTAAATTGTCAGCACTCAAACTCAGATTAGGCATAGTAGAAAGGGAATCTGTGGCTTTTCAATGGCTGGATCCACAGATTTGAGCAATTACCAACTGTCTATCTGTCTGTCCCTCCCCATCTTTCATTTTTGTTTTTTCTGTGCTATCCAGATCTGCCTTTATTCTCTTTGGGGGATCCCTTGGACAAGAGATGTCAGTCCTAGGAGGGAGAATGTTTAGAGACCCATGTGGCAGCAGTGGCTGAGAAGACTCCCTAGGTAGGAGACACGATGAGACAAGAATAGATTCCTGGATCTGCACCCCTCTTTCCTACAGGAAGGATTAGTGAGATATACCTTTGAACCAATAAAGGAGAGGTTCTGACATTTCCATATATACAATCTCTGTCACATGGAAACATCAGCACCTCCCCTGTAGATACTTGTCCAGTACTTGGGTTTATTTCATGGTTTTATAACAACTGGCCAGTTTCTAACACAGAAGAGCCAGGGTGGCAAATACTGATGCTTGAGTGCCCTGAATGGTGACATGTCTCAGACCTATTCGTGGGGCTCCACCAGCTCTCTCCATGGCACTTTGAAAAGGCACCTCTCTTGGTCTTCTCTAGGATCCTTCTGACTCCTGATAGAATAAAAACAACATGTTTAGGCTGCACAAAGGTCAAAGGACACAAATAAATAATGGATATGCATCTTGAATAAAGAGTAACCTTTGCCTCTGAAATTGATACATCACCTGTTAATCTGATCATGTAGAACATGGTTGTCAGACTAACATAGGACATGATAAAGCTTGATTTACAGAATGATATACTTTGTAAAATAAATGATTGTGAAACACTTTGAACGTATAAAGTCTTATATGGACGCTTAATGATCATGGTAATTATTTTACAACTTAATTATAGGAAAATGAAAGCAGAGCAGCTTAACGAATTCAAACACTGATCAGACTGTGTACTATGAGGGAGATAAAAAAGAGAGTTTGTAGCTTAGTGTCACATTCTGCGATTGTTTAACCTATAGTCAGACTTCTCAGTGTTTTCTAAAATGGAGAGAGTTACAAAATGATTTTGGTTATGTAGATAATTAGCTTTAAGTGAATTATATTTTATATTCCATAAGAATAGCCTTTTAAAGAAACAACAAATGGTACAGGCTGGCGTGGCCTGGGGATGAGAGAACTGATAAAGGGCATACAGGGAGACCTGTGTGCTTGTGATACAGCTCTTCCCACATGAGTGGGGCCTCGAAGCCTGGCCCCAAACTCAGCCCCTGAGCACAAATGAAATTAGGTGCATCTCTCTCTCTCTCTCTCCCTTCTTAAAAAATGTATATATTGCAATATGATGATGTAAGCTTGGGCTTTGGAGTGAATTTACTAAAAGCAGTAATGCATGTTGCACATTTTGTCAAGGATTACAAAACACTGGACACCTGTGCCCATCCACAGAATTTCCCTGCTGATCCTGAGAGCTGAGTGCAGATGGAAATTCGAGTTTTATTGTATTTGGCTATCAAGTCTATTAAAGAAATAGCTTATTATGCCTGTTCACTAGACATGCTTTTGGCCTTGGGATTTTTATACCTTTGGTCCTTGGCTACAGTAGTTCATACATAATAAACAGAGATTAAGGTTGTTTCCTATCATGAGATGAATAATATTTAACATAGCTATTCAACGTATCTAACTAGTGACCTTTGGCCAAATCACTGAAATAATTCGATTTTTAAAATCAGATTTCATCCTGCTTTGACGTGAATTGATTTCACTGCCTCCAACTAAAGTTTGAAATAGACATTTAGGCATACATGGCTTTCCTAACCTATAAGGAAGGTCAGTGCCTGAATAATCTTGCATATTTGCAGTTCAGATTTACTCTCTCACAATCATTTTGCAACCCATCTGCACAGGGTTTATACCTTTGAGGTATTATCCCAAGTAATTTATCACTTTTTCTGTTCACTAAAATTAAATGGTTTAATTCTTAGGGGATTAGTTGAGAAAACATTTGCTGTTTCGGCCAAGCCTCTATAATCTATATTTCTCCAAGTTGTTAAAATGTCAAATTGAAAGAGGGTCAAGGAAAGCAACAATAAAGTTCAAAGAGAGTATTATATTCTCTTCAGTTATTGCAATTTTTTATCAGTCTCATTGATCCTGGATAATAAATGCACATTGCTGTAAGTTTCAGAAACTCAAGAAGATGTTAAGGCAATCAATTTTATGAATAAATGTATCGCTAAAAAGAGGATTTTGCTGGCAAGGTCAAGAGCTGGCTCTTTGTGAAAACATCTTGGACTTGCCTTTTCACACAGATCTTTGACAATTTCCGAACGTTTAAAATAACGTATCTCTTAAAAGTATGTTTGAAAAGCTAATGTCTGTAGTTCAGCAGCACAATTAACAAATTAATGAACTCACTTTCTGTTTACCATTGAATTATAATTGCTAATTGGTTAATCTAAATAAAGCCTCGGGCCTTTATTGGAAGTGTTAGCATTTGAAACCACTGGCTGCTTGAATTTCCTCAACTAACACTCCAGACTTGTGAAATTTAAACAAACTTGTAAAATCTGGGCACCTTTTAATGCCTCTCAATAGCCTATCATCACGGCCCAAATCTATTAGCAAAACAAATAAACAGCTTTTGGAATTTAAAGGTAAATATAGGAATTCATGAATATACTGATTGCTCTTTCACGTTATAGCTGTTTGCTCAAATGTGGCCCCCAGCAACGAAGAGAACTGTGTGTGTGTGTGTGTGTGTGTGTGTGTGTGTGTGTGTGTAGATATTACCTCTGGGGAATCCAGCCTTTTAATTCTGAAGAAGAATTATATGTTAACAGCTTTCCTTTTATGTGTAATTGGTGCACTGACACAGGTCCTTTCCCAACCTTATTTGAAAAGTCTTTTTCCTTATTCCTTCTTAGTCACTTCCGCTTCTTCTCTCCGCGCGACCTTGAATTCCCGGGCCTTTCCCCCACGCCGCTCCTGCGCCCGCAGGGGACCTGGTCTCCTCCAGGCGTGGCCCCGCACTTCCCGACCAGGGCAGAGCCAGGGCAACAGCCAGCTTGCAGACAGCTGTTGCCCGCGGGGCAGCGGTGGGGTTGTCATTAGCAAGGAGGGCAGGACTGCTCCGAGGCTGTCCTGTTGGTGACCAAGAAACAATTGTCCCTGACGGCCAGTCGGCAGGAGGCTCTGTGTTTCCATTCTCTTTGACCTGATACCAGGCTCGAGCCACTGTTACCTGGAAGAGGCTGAACTGCAAACTGCAGCAGGCTCTTCAGAGAGCAGTTGCAAAGGTGTAGGGCTCTGGATAGCAAGCTGTGATGGCTCAAGTATAATGTGCATTTATGATTTTCCGTGTCAACGAAATAGATGTGAAGTAGACACACCAAACTGTTCCCGAGATCTGAGTCAGGCGCGGCTGTAGTCACTTTAAGATGAAGATCTCAGGGCGCCTGGGTGCCTCAGTCGGTTAAGCATCCGACTTCGGCTCAGGTCATGATCTCACGGTTCCTGAGTTCAAGCCCCGCGTCCGGCTCTGTGCTGACAGCTCAGAGCCTGGAGCCTGTTTCAGATTCTGTGTCTGCCTCTCTCTCTGCCCCTCCCCTGTTCACGCTCTGTCTCTCTCTGTCTCAAAAATAAATAAAACATTAAAAAAAAATTTTTTTTTATTAAGATGAAGATCTCGTGTCATTCCAGGACTCCACAGACTAGAGGCGAAGACAGTTACCAGGCCCAGCAATAAGGCCAGGAGAGAGGGATGCGCAGGCTGTCAAGGGAGCACCCTGTCCAGGGCCGTTCTCTTTGTTCGTGGTTGTGTAGTGTGCTTACAGCAGCATTTCATGAACCTTCAGTGGACTGAGGTTGTTGCAGGATGGACGGTGTGTGAGGGCATGTATTCTGGGTCAGGAACGCCAGCCTGAGGCTACTGTAAGAGTCTCAGGGTTGATGAGGATCAGGTCTGGGTGAAGTTGATGAAACGAAACAAAACGAAATGAAAACAAAAGACAAGAAAAGAAGAAAAGGAAAGGAAAGAGGAAAAAGGAAAGATTAGTTACATATATTTTACACACACACACACACACACACACACACACACACACACACACACAAATGCACGCACACACATTGGCAGGGTTTTTTCACGAAGATAAATCCTTTTGAAACACAAACTATACATCCCAGAGTGATTTTGTGGGGTCTAAAGCTTTTGCCAAAGCCGAAGGGGATAAGGGGGGGTAGGGGTCTCTGCTAATCGCTCTCTTCCTGGTACAGTCTCTCCTTTCCAATGTAAACTTAGGCAGTTGAGGGGGAGGCAGAGAGCTTTCTTGCATCTGCTGCATTTTGATTACTTTTAACTTGAAATAATTGTTATGCCAAAGTGGTCCATCTTGGGGCAGTCTGCCCTAGGCCCCTACCAAAAGAACATCTTAGGACTCATTTCCACTTTTATAGGGCAAAATAACCTTTGGTCTGGTCCCTGGGTGTCACTACACAGGGTCCATAGCTACAGTGGATTTAACTTTCTACACAAGGCATTCATAGGTACAGGCATTCTTTCTACACAAGGAGGGATGTGTACCCACCAAATCGAAACTGAACATATTCTCCACTCAAGCTCTCCTTAGCCCAGAGTTTCTCAACCATGGCTACACTGACATTTTGGACTAGGTAGTTCTTTGTTGTGGGGGCCCATCCTATGCATTGTAGGCTGTTTAACAGCATTTACTCTGTAGATTCCGATAATGTATGTGCAGTCGTGACAACCAAAAAGTTCTCCAGACATGGCCCCACATCCTCTGGGGAGCAAAATCACTCTCACTCCCCTCGCCTTTAAGAACCACTGCCTTAGACGGATTTGCCCAAATGTCTGTGGCCACGCTAACACTATCTAACAAGAGGGAACAGTCACAAGGCAGGAATTGCAGTATAACTGCTTACAGCATTAAAGTAGGACAATGCTAACCCAACCAAAAATTTCCTCCTCTTATGTAAAAGTTTTAATTTTGTGCCATTCCTTATTCCTAAAAAACAACCCTCTCCATATCTCTATCTATATAATCATCATCCTCAAAATCAGGGTTCAAAAATCAGACATGCTAGAATGTCACTTTATGATCGAATTTGCCAGGTCCCTAAAGAGCCTACGCATCATTGGTTCATTCGGTTTGGTAAAACCTTATTGAGTGTCTCCTATGTACCAGCCCCAGAAAATATCTGTGAGCATAACCGACAACTTTCTCTACCCTTATGGTCTTATGTTATAGTTGATTGATATTAGATTTATTACGGTGAACTTATCAGCATGTTTTATAGTCATTGTAAGTGTTTTTGTGTTTTGAGACACATGATAATTTTTGTTAGGGGGCATATACTTTTCCTTACATAACTTCTGAATTCAGGAAGCGTTGACTCAGTCCCAAGGAAGTCGAGATAAGTATTTTCTTCCCTGTTTTAGCCAGCCTCCATCTGAGACAATTATCCTTTTCTCCTTGAGATAGAGCCCATTTTTGGTCAAGAGGCCTTCATCCTCAAAGATTGTACCATCACTAAGGAATTTTAAGTGTTCTGTTGGATACTACTTGAAGGGACACATGTTCATTTCCACAATGCACCTGTTCCTACGGTGGCCTCTCCACTCAACTCAGTTAAGAGCACTACCTAAGCACTGGTCCTCTCTCCTGCTTCTTCAGAATAGCAAAAATAGCTTGTATGTACTGAGGGCTTATCAAGAGCCCAAATTGTCCTAAGCATTTTTATGTGCATTATCTCATTTCACCATAAAGCAGTCCTTGGAGGTAAGCAGAAGACAAAATCGAGGCTTAGAGAGATGGAGGTACTTGCCCAAGGCCACCCAGTTTGGAAAGAGAGCTGAGATTCAAACCCAGGCAGTCTAACTCCAGAGTCTGAATGCCTAACTTCCATTATGAGCACTGTGACTTGTGATGATTTCTGTGTGAGTTAAATCCACATGGAAAGCAGAGTGGGTTTCGGTGGTTGACCCAAAAAGGCCTAGATAAATTACCATATGACAGGTAGCAGCACCTCACTGGGATGCCCTCGATACAAATCACCCAATGACAGCTCCATGGTGAAATATGAGAGAGAATATTGTACCATAGAATTTTTAAACTGGAAAAATGGTTAGGTCATCTACACGACATACGTGTATTTCTGTGTGACATATAGACAGATATACATGTATGTATGTATGCAGGAGTATCGAAGATTCTTGATTGAAGAATATACTTGACTAGATGTAAATAGCATTCATTGAAGGTGACATCTTCCTGATAAGACACTTAAAGGATGATCTTAATTTTGCATATTGAGACTCTTTGGAGACTTGTATATGTATGTGTGAGTGCATGCACATTTCCATAAGGCTAATTCTTTTTCTTGCTGCTGTGGTGCAGTCCTCACAAACCTATGATTCACAACAGGAATGTAGCTTGGAACTTCTGCTATGTAAGCAGCTGCAGATACTTCAAATACCATTGTACATGTGATCCAGGACTTGCTATAAATTTGCCCCTAAAAATAAAGTAACAAGTGACTGAGCAGCAATAGGAATTAATCACTGCAGTGCGTGAATGGAATGTGCTAGGCTCTACCTCAAAATCCTTTTATAAAAAGATTGATATAATTAAAACCCCAAAGAAACAACCAAGGATGCTATATTTGAGCAAATGTGCTGCAAAAATTTTGGAAGGAAGGTTTATTTTTTTTTTAAAGGAGAGATGTAGAAAAAAATGGGTTTCCACACCTTCTACATCATTGGAAATAAGATAATATTGTTACATCACGGAAGAATTTATCACGCAAAGGAATTTAAATTGGATTCAATCTTGGTACACTGGAATTTTTTGAAGGCTGAGGGGATAATCGAGCATCTCAATTAAGCTGTTTGCCATGATGGGAAATAACAGTTAAAACTTCTACCATAATTTGTAGCAAAGATTACCTTGATGCTTTAGAGATGTGAATAACCATTTGAAAAGCCCAGACATTTCAAGCTTTTAAAATTAGACTTGAATGGATAAATTCTTTAAGAAGTAATAAACCAACTGACCAAAGAAGAAAACAATTAATTATGACTTCTTGAAATCTGCCTTTTTCCTATGACTGTAACACAGCATCCAAATCCGACAGCCCCTATTTAAATCTCTGACCCCTAATACTATCTGAAAAAGAAGGAGGAGTAAAAAAGGATGAAGGAAGGAAGGAAGGAAGGAAGGAAGGAAGGAAGGGAGGGAGGGAGGATGGAAGGATGGAAGGAATACTAACCAGAAAAAGAAAAAAGAAAAAAAATAACAATAACCAGCCCTTCAAAAAGGTCACTAAACAGACAGTTCATAAAGGCCTCTGTGATTCCGAGGCCACAGGTAACAAACTGTTTAGGTCGTCTGAAAGAGAATTTGATTGAAAATCCATTTTTAGACATGGGAAAGTGAAAGAGATTTCTTAAACCCACTTGAATTGCTGAAGATGAAAGGTTAAAAGCTTTAAAGACCAAAACTACATTAGCAACAGAACAGTAAATACCATCAACAGAGACACAGAAGAATTAGCAAAACAAATATTAAATGAAGAGGGGGAAAAAAAATTCATTTCAAAAGCCAAAAAAATTTCTTTTCTTTGTATTCCAAAATTGATCTTGCAGTTTTAGATGAAAGGACTAAAGGGTAATTTCTATATAATACTTTCTAAACAAGTGCATGAAATCACTCTCTGCTCCAAAGGGACAGGATCAAAACAGGTAGATTTCCTTGGACAGCTTTGCCACTGCTCTCCACTGTGTTAGAAGCTGTGTTTCCACAGTGAAAGATGATGTGTTATGGTCTGCAGCTCTCTTAATCTTACATGAATTAGGCTTAAAACCACACACTATAAGCTTGGTTTCTGTGGCATTCTTTGGTTTCTAGAATTGCAGAGGAAAACTACTATGATGTTGAGAAGCACAGATGGTTATAGCTTATTAATCTAACATTAAGAAGACCTTTCCAGGTAGCAGACAAGTGTTCCTTTTAATAATGAACCTTAGGGGCGCCTGGGTGGCTCAGGTGGTTAAGAGCTTGACTCTTGATTTTGGCTCAGGTCATGATCTCACGGTTCATATGTTCGAGCCCTTTGTGGGGCTCTGCGCTGATGGTGTGGAGCCTGCTTGGGATTCTCTCTCTCTCTGTCTCTCTCTCTCTCTCTCTCTTTCTGTCTCTCTGCCCCTCTCCTCTTCTCTCTCTCTCTCTGTCTCAGAATGAATAAATAAACTTTAAAAAAAATAATGAACCTTAAAAAATTAACCATTATTGTTAGAAGCTATGTACTTTTCTGCCTCTTTAAGGGGCACATAAACATAATTTATTTTACTTTACTATTTTTTTTTTTTTATAATTCAGGGCCATTATTATAGACCTCATTTATTACTGGTATAATAACATGATACTCTCATGGGCTGAAGTATGTTTTCCCTTATAATAAAAATCATTTGGGTCTTTAGACAAAGATACTACAAGAAAAGAAACTACAAACCCGTATTGATACAAACATTCTCAACAAAACATTTAAAAACCAAATTCAATAGCACCTTAAAAGAATTATACAATGACCAAGTAGGATTTATCCCTGGGATGCAAGGGTGGTTCAACATACAAAACCTAATCAATGTGATAAATCATATGAACAGAACGAAAGACAAAATTACATGATTATCTCAAATGATGCAAAAAGCAATTGACAAAATTCAATGTGTTTTCATGATAAAAATGCTCAACAAACTAGGAATGGGAGAAAATTACCCCAACATATTATGTTAATAACCTTAGCATAATATGATGTTAACATTATTTTCTTTTTTAAAAAAAATTTTTTTTAATGTTTATTCATTTTTGAGACAGACAGAGACAGAGCATGAATGGGGGAAGGTCAGAGAGAGAGGGAGACACAGAATCTGAAACAGGCTCCAGGCTCTGAGCTATCAGCACAGAGCCTGATGCGGGGCTCGAACTCATGGACCGTGAGATCATGACCTGAGCCGAAGTCGGTTGCCCAACTGACTAAGCCATCCAGGTGCCCCAACATTATTTTCAATGGTGAGTAACTGAAAGCTTTTCCTCTGAGATCAGGAACTAGACAAAGATTACTATTCTCTCAATTTTATTCAACATAGTATTGGAAACTTAGCCATTACAGTTAGGCAAGAAAAAAAGAAAAAAAGTGGCATCCAAGTTGAAAACGAAGAAGTAAAATTGTTTCCTTCACAGATGACATTTCTTACACATAGAAAACTCTAAAGGTTCCACAAAGAAACTGTTAGAACTAAGAAATGAATCAGCAGAATTGTAGAATACAAAATCAATGCTCAAAAATCAGTTGTATTTTTATACAAAACCAGTAAACAATTCAAAAAGGAAATTAAGAATACAATTTAATTTATGATAGCATCAGAAAAAATACTCAGGAACAAACTTACTCAAGGAAGCAAAAGACTTGTACACTGAAATCTTCAAAACATTACTGAAAGAAATGAAAGAAGACACAAATAAGTGGAAAGACATCCCATGTTTATGGATTGGAAGAATTAACATTGTTGACATGTCTGTACTACCCAAAGCAATCTACAGATCCAATGCAATCTCTATCAAAATACC